TTGGACTGTGTTTGCTCAGGTGCATAGCTAATCAGATAAAGGACTTTGGGACTGAGCTTCATATGCTCGTCTCTGTCAAAAACAAAAGGGGGAGTTGTTGGCGATCTATAAGGATGTAGAGGGCCACAGGCTATTCATGAGGTCTCACTGACAAGCGGAGGCCCCTCTGGATGCTGATCTCTGAGCAAAAGTCGCCTGGTTCGGTGCTCCATTGTATGGATCTTTAACAATCTTTAACTCCCCTAGTTATTGTATGGTCATTAGCAGTCTATTCTGGGATTGGAGTCAGATAAGTACTCAGGACATGCATGCACTGTCCTTGAGCACAGCATGGGCTATAGTCATTGTAACTTGAGAAAGAGTTCCTGTTATTTTACTATATAAGTAAGTGCTTTGCTAAAAATAAACGGAGTTGCTTCCATCCTGCTCCCGCCTCATCAATGCGCATTCGAGATAGAAAATCAAGCTGGTCTTGATTCATCAGGTGATTGGGAAATCGTAGGCCCTAGGTAGGCTCTATAGCCAAGTGAACTAGTTGTGCACAACATTCCAGTAGGTCAAAGGAGCTAGGATTAAAACCAAGAATCACCTACCCTGCAAAACTCAGTGTAATCAATGAGGGGGAAAAATTGATATTCAATCATGTAGAGGAATTTAATGCATTCTTGAGAAAAAACCAGAGCTAAATAGAAAAACTGACTTTCAAATACAAGACTCAAGAGAAGCATGAAAAGGTAAACAGGAAAGAGAAATCAGAAAGGATTTTATTGGACTGTTTACATTCTTACATGGAAAGATGATATATGTAACTCATGAGACCCTCATTATTAGAGTAGTTGGAGGAAATACATATAGAAAGAGGGCAAAGGGTGAATTGAATATGAAGGGATGATATCTAAAAAATAAAATTAAGGGTGAGAGAGGAATATACTAGGGGAAGGAGAAAGAGAGTGGTAGAATGGGGTAAATTATCTCACACAAAAGAGGCAAGAAAAAGCTTTTACAGTGGAGGGGAAGAGGGGGGAGGTGAGAGGGAATGAGTGAACTTTACTCTCATTGGATGTGGCTTAAGGAAGGAATAACATACACACTCAACTGGGTATAGAAATCTATCTTACCCTACAGGAAAGTAGTGGGGAAGGTGATAAGAGGAGGAGTGTGGTAAGAAAGGAGGGCAGATTGCAGAAGGGGGTAAGAATCAGAAGGAAATACTTGAAGACAGCTTTGGGGACTCCCCCTCCCCCCATGCCTTTTCTACTTTTGGCTAAACGTCTCCAGTTCCTTCAACTAATATATATGGCATAAAGAAATTATAGGTGACAAAACTGAGATATATACGTGTGTATACATATGTATTTTACTTTTCTTTATTTTTCTTGCTTTTTATGTCTAATAGGGAAATATGTTTTATTTTGTTTTTTGGTGAGGCTATTGGGGTTAAGTGACTTGCCCAGGGTCACACAGCTAGTAAGTGCCAAGTGTTTGGTCTAAGGCTGGATTTGAACTCAGGTCATCCTGACTCCAGGGCCAGTGCTCTATCGATACACTGTACCACCTAGCTGCCCCTAACTAGTTAAATATTTAAAAAGTTAACTATGGCTGTGGAAAAACACTATATCAGACTACTAAAGTAGTGGTCAAACTGAATTGTTGGAATGTTTTTGGAAAACAATGAGACAATATACAGTAAAAGTTGGTATCGTACAGAGTCCTGGATTTTCAGTCAGGAAAACCTGAGTTCAAATCCAACCTCAGATACTTCCTTGTTGGGTGACCTTGGGCAAGGAACTTACTTCATTTTCCTGAACCATAAAATGAGGATCAAAATAACACCTACTTCATAGGGTTGTTGGGAGGATCAAATGAGATAATATTTGTAAAGCAGTTTACAGATCTTAAGGAATTATTTTAATGCTAGTTATTATTAGTATTAGTATAGTAGTTTTACATTACTAATACTCTTACTAGTATTATTACTACTATCTCAGTACAACGGTTATACACTAGTGTTTTTTCTTTTGGAATGAGAAGGAGGCCAAGGGTGGGGTGGGACTAGATTGATCATTTCATTGGTATGACAAATTACCAATGAGTTAAATTTCCTTTGCCAATGTGGATCAGTACTTGCCACGAGAATCAGAGAGTTGCCTGGGGAGCCAAAGGTTGTTACTGGCAGTAAAAAAAAGTACGTATTCTAAAAACTACATATAGCAGCATTATTTTCAATAGGAAAAACATAACTAGAAACAACCCAAAACACAGTTGAATAGCTTTAAAAAATTGTGGATAAATGAAATATATTATTATTGTCATGAAATGATAAATATCAATAATAATAGCTAGCACTGATGAGTGCTTGGGTGCCTGTGCTTTGACCCCAATTTCTCCCTGGCCTCAGAAACACTATCCCTGGCAGTTTTCCCCCAGCCCAAGGACACTGTGCCTAGCAATCACTCATGAGTAGGCCTCAGCAAAACATTTATCTCTCTCTCTGGTGACACAAAGCTGGGTGAAAGAATGCTGGGCTGCTCCCAGCCCTAAGATCATGTCTCTGGAAGCCTCCCAATTCCTTAGTAAGCTCCTGTCTTGTGAGAAAACTTTTCCCTGTTGCTAATCAGGACAGAAAGAGAGGAGTGTCTTGTCTTGTCAAAGGAATTTTTGTCCCTGGCTGGCCCAGGGATTCTTCCTCCTGCCAGATTTCCAAGATCCTCTGACATCTCCCTCCCTGTCTGTTATAGTCCCTACACTTTCCCAACCATAGCTCCCAAAGACACCTGGACCTTTAGATTACCTAATCCCTTACATTCCTTTCCCATGCCCTTTTCCATATAAATCTCAGCTCCATCCTCAGTCTCTCGAAGGTTCCTTTGCCTGCAGTATTGCATAACAATAAACTTTTGCCAACTTGACTTACCTGAGTCTGTGAATTCATTCCAGATGACCCTGTCCTATACTCTGGTCCCTCAGGGGTCTAAACCTCTCAGACCGCAACAGCACTTTAAGATTTGCAAAGCACTTTTATGTATACAAGCAATTATTAGGCAGCTACTATGTACCAGGCACCATGTAAGCCCTTTACAAATATCTCATTTTATCTTTACAACAACCCAGGGAGGCAGATGCTAGTATTATCTCTATTTTAGAGATGAGGAAACTGAGGCAAACAGAGGTTAAATGGCTTTCTCAGGGTCACACAGTAAGTGTCTGTGACCAGCTTTGGCTCAGGGAAACTAAGGTCTTCCTGACTCCAAGTCCAGGGCTCTATCCACCAAGACACTTACCCACCTCTAATCTGTTAATATATGTCAACTCATTTGATCCTCATGTCAACCCTATTTTACAGGTGAGGAAACCAAGTCACAGATAAGTGACTTGCACACTGTCACACAGCTAATAAGTGTCTGAGGCAGAGTTTGAACTCAGGTCTTTCTGACCCTAAGTCCTGCAATATATCTACTTGGACCATCTAGCTACCTCAATGCAAAGAAATTTATGAAGAATTTTTTGAAGTGAGGCAGAGTGAAAACAATTTAAAAAAGAAAACCTCACAAAAAAATAATTAAAGCAACAATATACACTCTGGCCACAACTAGAATAATCACAGTAACAAAAATAAGGAAAATATACTAAGAATAAAAGAATTTCACTATGGATAATGTAAACAAATAGGATGATTTTGTTGCTATCTTGCTAAAGAGATACATATTTAGAATTTTTGTTTTATTAAATAAACTAAATAATATAAAATTTTGTTTTATTATAATTTTAAATTTTATCTATGTATATGGTTATATAAAATGAAATGCATTTATTCATAGGCAAGCATGTGACATTCACTATGCCAAGTGCTAAACACAGAAGAGGACAGACCCTGCTCTCAAATATCTCACTCTAAGTTGAACAGACAATAATCACAAAAGAATTCACCAGGAGGATAGATGGCAAGGTCAAGAGTCCCTTAAAATACACAAGAACACCACATGATACTGAGTGGAGGGCTGTAGGATATAGAGGCAGAGTGGATGGCAAGGCCTAGAGGAGTTCAGAAAGCAGTAGTAGGGTAGATGGAAAGGCCTGCTAGTCTTCCAGATCTCAAAAGGGGAAATGCTAAGGATAAGTAAAAGGCTTTTGTTTTTTGTTATATTCAGAACAAGAACAAGGAAAAAGCAGCTATATGATGTTACAAACACCAGCAATAAAGTTAAAAGCCTCACGTAACTCCTCCAGATGCTTTAAGACGTCGCTAACTTCCCTCCCAACTCTTCTCTCCTCTATCTCTGGTAAATCCTCCACAATCTCTCACCTCTCCTTCCAAATTTATTTCATTAACATTCCCCTTTACTATGTTCCAAACCAATTGGACTACTTGCTACTCCAAGAACTTGACATTCAAAATCTTCTATATAGTAAGTCCTTTCCACAGGCTTTATTCAGCACCATGCTTCAGCTGCCTTCTAACCCTGTAAATTCCTTCATCCTATGTGGCCTTTTCACCCTGGACCATCTGTAGCCCCCTATTTTTCTGCCAGAACTTTCATTCTGAGGAAGGGCCTAGACCAGCCATCCTTTATTCCTCTCTCAGCTCTACTTCTGGATCTCTGGATTTTGCTACCAAGCCCTCCCTTTTACATGTACGTGTTTATTCTCTTTCTTTTTGCTTGCATTGGTATTCCCAGCACTTGGCCCAGTGCTCAGAGCACAGCAAGGGCTTAATAAATGCTCAGGAACCTCCTTTTACACTAAGCCTTTCCTGATCCTCAAGCTTACAGATGGTGGGGGTGTTTTCATTTTTTCGGTCTTTGTATTCCCTGGGCCTACTAACGGTGCTTGAATACAGCAGAGGCTTGATACTTTGGTTGAATTGAACAGAATTTGTTGGATAAATGAAGCTTCCCTTTTTCAACTACTTCGGTTTTTTGGCTGATTTGTCTCTTCGTATCAGAAGCATTTTATAGGCACACTCAAGATGGGCAGGGAGGAGGAAAAACCAAACCACCAACCTTCTCACAAACTCCTTTCCTCCAACTCCGCCTGTGACTCATGGGATGAAGGGGGGCTCCACGATAAGTCGGCCCTCCTTAAAAAGAAAATCAGGCAACTGCCCAGACTGGAAGCCCGGAGAGCCAGAGACGAAGGCCCACAGTCAAACAGGCAGCGGCCTTTCCGGCCAAACTCTTTCCCCTCCGGGCAGGGCGGGGAAGGAGCGCGAGACACTGCGGACAGAGCCCGGGCGCTACCCGGCAGGCAGAGGGGCGGGAGAGGGGCACGGAGGCGAGCAGACAGGGCACAGGAAATTATAGGGGAGGGTCTCCTCCTCCTCCTGGGGTACTCTGAGTTACTGGGCCAGGGTCCCACCGCGGGACTAGCGGGGATAAAAACTACGATTTCACCGGAACGTTGCTGCTTGTTGGATAACCACTTCGCTTCTCGTCTCCCTGGTGACGGGCCCAGAAATGACGCACAACCATCGCTTCCGGCCCCGCCTCCTGGACGGCCGTTCCAAGGTGGAGGGGCACGTGGGACTTGGGGCTGTAGTGCTGGCTGTCATCAGGTTACCTGGAGCTGCATCCAGGGAGGGAAAAAAAAAACAACCGAGGCTGAAAGCCGCCGCGAGATGGCGCTCTTCTCTCGCTGGCCGTCTCTGTTGGCGACCTTGGGGCAAAGACCTCAGAAAGAACAAGAATTTGCATTCAAATCTACTCTCCTCCTTCCCGAGGTGAAGTGACTTTCCCAAGGTCAGGATGGTAGTAACTTAGTTAAGAGGTGGAGACAGGATTTCAACCCAGCTCTCCTGACTTCAAAACAGCACTTTTATGAAGCCCTGTTTCTTAAAGGATGGACAACCTCATCCCAACCTATGTTAATTTTAAGTGACTATATATTAATATATATATATATATATATATATATATATATATATATATTATATATATATATATATATATATATATATATATTTAAGTGATTATGTGTATAACGAATGTGGCAACAATTTAAAAGATTACATATGTGTGTTAATTTTAAATGAGTGTATATTACATATATACGAAAGATATAGTTATATCTTGTTTGCTCGTAACTGTAAATATGTAAATATGTATACATTATACACACATACTCTATATGTACATATAATTTATATCATAGCATGTATGTACATATATAGTATATGTTTATACTATATGCATATATATAGCATGTATACATGCATGTGTACATACACACTATAGATGTACACGTAGTGTACAATGCATGTATACTATATATAGTATGTATTTATAGCTAGTATATATGTAGCTATGAGCAGACCAAGATATATATATGTATAATATATATCTTGCACATATGTAATATGTGTCCATTTGAAACTAACACCCCACACACAGATATAGATATATAGTTATCAGTAAGCCAAGAGCAGACTTTTACATTCTTGGAATGGAAGCCCATTCATTCATTGTTCAATAACAGTTAGCATTTATATAGTGCTTTAAGGACAACCAGACTGGTTACAAGTATTATCTTATTATCCCTCACAACAACCCTGGGAGTTGGTACTATTATTATAATCCCCAATTGACAGATGGAGAAACTGAAGGCAGACAAGTTAAGTGACTTGCCCACTTTCACACAACTAGTAAATTTCTGAGGCAGTATTTGAACTCAGGTCTTCTTGATTCAAGATCTTACTCAATCTACTGGGCTTACAGAAATAGGGAATTGTACTACAGAGTCTCAGCCCTAATGAAGACTACTGCCAACATATATTATATCTAGGTGCATGTGTCTACATATATAGTATAAGAATATTAATGGTAAATAAGAGATGCAAAACAAAATAATCTATGAGGCCAGAGCATGAAACGATTCTTATAGGAGGAGGCATTTGTGTGGGACTTTAAAAGACAGTACTTCATTATGGAAAGTAGAGGAGGGAGGGCATTCCAAGTGGGAAAGGTAGTGGTGTGACAATTTGTGGAAGCCCCCAGCTGAGAAACAGCCATCATGTTCTAGTAGTTTCTCACTAGTGCTCAGGGATGTAAGAAAATTGAGTGAAGTCAGTAAGCAGCAATCATTCTATAATTAACTCTGCTATTAATCTAGCTCTGTAACTATGACATACTGATGTTTAATATGCAATATAGCTATAACCTTCCTAATTTGAAAAAAAAATTGAAACATCCTGTAGAAGATGATTAGTACGTAGTTCAGAAAAACAACCTTCTGAATGAAATTTAGTAAAATAGGAAAAGAGAACAAATTTAAGCTATGCAAGTTTTAGATCATAGCTATAATCCCATGAATTTTTATAAATTAAGTATATATTTATTGCTTTTTGTTTGGACTTTAAAATGTTAAATGACATTTCGTTAATTTATCCTTATAATGTTCTTCAAAGTTCTTATTTTAGGGATGGGGCTTATATTTGGAGGCAAAGTTAAGTCCCTCAGTTTTCACAGAAAAAGAAACTAGTAATACAGAATTTGTTCAGTTATGAATTCTAGGTAGGCCCAGACCATGACTTAACTTGATAGCATATGTAAAGGGCTTTAAATTCCTCAGAAGAAAATTATTTTTTAAATATAGCAATTCTTCCAAGGTAACTAATAAAGATTACTAAGACTTGAGACCCTCAGCTGGTATCGCTTGGAGGATGATATGCCAATAAAGCAAAACTTACTGGAATTTCTGGGTTGCCTTACTTATGATAATTTTCATCTTATGCACAGACTATCAAATCAGTAGTTTTGTTCTCCATTTAGACAGCAAAGAGTTTATTCCTGTAAACTATGTAAAGGCAAAAGAAAGAGGTAAGATAAAATGAAGAAAAGTTTTTTTAAGAACAAAATTATTACATAAAGCATAGTGTTTAGTGACTAGCCCTTTCACTGTTTGGGCTCTGATGGTTCAGAGAGAGTGCAAATAGAAATTGTTTCTGTTTTGGCCAGAAACCCTGAGGGTCTTCCCTTACAAGGTTGTTTGTTTGTTTGTTTGTTTGTTTTTGGACTAGGTAAAAGAGGCCATTCTTTGCCTCATTTCTTACCTAGCCTTAATCACTGAATGGGCATTGCCAACTGAGATCTGGGAAAGACCTGAGCTTAAAAAGGCCAAGATCTCCCATTGCATCCATGGCCATCTCCAATTGTCCTGATCTCTATCTTGCTACTGGACTTAGGTGGCTTTGGAGGAGAGAGTGAGGCTCATGACTTTGCACAGTCTTTCCTCATTTAAATCCAATTCACTTGCAAGTCATGAAATCACCTTCCTGATGTCATGGTCCTTTTCAAGAATGAAGGACAAACAACAGTTGTCATTTGTTTTCTTGCCCTACTCCCTTCTAACAAAGCCCATGTTTTGAGGAATGTATGTCTTATTGATGTAGATACTTCATCCAAAACTAAAGACTGAAACCCATCCCCACCTTCTCATTATGTTGAATTCATATCTGTATTTTCTTGTTAGTTTTTTAAAATAATTTTTATTTTTTTCTGTACTTGACAAACACCAAATAATATGAATATTCCATGTTCAAAAAAGAACAGAAAAAGAGTATTGTACAGAAAACCACAAACTTCTATTACAAGCAGTTATTTTTTTAAGCACATAATAAATTCATTATGTTCATTTTAAAGCTGTCTTGCTTGTTTATGTCTCCCTCAGAACCTCCTTCTGTTTTCTTCTATGTGTTTTTTAAAATGTTTCAATGACCCTCTTTCTACTCTCTTTTTGGACATCATTACTGATCATTGTTCAAAACATAATGCTTTTTTGAAGTTGCCCTGGTTATCACCAAATCTTATGAGCAGTTAGAGGATGGAACATGCATCCACAAATTGGTAAGGAAACAAGGCAGGGAATTGTAAGAAGGAGAAATGAGAAAGGAGTGTATTTGAAACTGCTACCACCTAGCCCCCCCAAATGCCAACAAAATCTGAGAGTCTGTTGGACCTCTTATCAGAATAATATGTGTTGCTTACATTCATAATGGAAAGAAAAGACAAAATTTTAGTTAGAAGTTGGGGAGAAACTTCTGGGTCATGAGAACAGCAGAGTGGAGGACCCCCACAAACTTCTCAAACCTCTCCAAAACAGATAAAGATAAAGATAAAGAACATAAAGATAAAGATAGACAAAGATAAAGAAATCTCAGCTGTATCCATAGTCTTGGTACAGACCCTCATCACCTCACCCCTAGACTACTGCAATAGCCTCCTGGTTAGTCTGTGCTGCCTCAAATCTTTGCCCACTCTTGTCTATCTATACTCTATTATCAAAAGCACAAGTCTGACCATGTTGCTCCTTGGCCTCCTATTCAGTTGACTTCAGTGCTCCCCGATTAGCTTTAAAATCAAATTTTAAATCCTCTCGTTGGTCTTAAAGCCCACCATAACCTGACCCCCTCCTACCTTTCCAGTTTACTACTTTATAGCCCTCTGTGATCTAGTAACAGTGTTCTTTGCTATTCTACACTGCTTCATCTTTCAACTCTACATTTTCACCAGCTGTTCCCCTTCATGGAACTCTCTCCCTCCTCAGCTCGGCCTTCTGGCTTCCCTGGCTTTTTTCTAGTCTTGGCTAAAATCCCACCTTCTGCAAGAAGCTTTTCTATGTTCTACTAAAATGCTAGTGTTTTTCTCTGATATGACCTCCAATTTATCTTGTGTGTATATGTGTGTGTGTGTATCTATGTTTTGTACATAGTTATTTGCATGTTTTATTCCCGTTAAAATGTAATCTCCTTGAGGGCAGGAGCTACTTTTCCCTTTCTTTGTATCCCCAGTGCTTAGCACAATGGCTGGCTCATAGTAGGCACTTAATAAATGCTTATTGACTAGAAGAAACAATTTACATTTACTATGCACTTTTGGGTTTGCAAAGTGATTTTTATCACAAAAACCCTCTGAGGTGAGTAGTGTTAATATATTTATTGCCATTGCATCATGAAGAGGTTGAGGCTCACTGAGATAAGGTGATAGGGTGTTCACAGAGCAAGTTTTGAAATCCTGGTCTCCTGACTGCACGCCCCGTCCTATTTCTGCTACAACACATAGCTTTCTGCCACCAACTTAACTTAGCCAGTGGAAATTCTCTGCTGTTTTTCATAACTTCAATTCTATTTCAATGCTTCTATCAAAGATGTATCTGGGACACATAGGACTATGTTTCTGGGATATCTTTAAAGCTCTGTCTTCAATGGCTTTCTCCTGTGGCGGTAGCAAGACAGCAATGCTGTCTCATTTGGCTGAGAAATAAGTTCCATCCCATCATGGATTTCAGGCTTGCTGGATTGAAGCACAGCATATTTCTGAAACATAGAAGTGTTTGATGGCAGCTATAATACAGTTGCATTCAACAGGTTTTCCCCTTCACACTTCTTCAGCTAAGTCTCATATAGTGCCTTCCTATTTGCTACATTTCACCAAACCATTTATGATAGTATAGGGTTATTCTGCTTTTTTTAAATCAGTATTATTAAATTCCAGTTTTATTTGTGAAATACAATAGTGTAATATTTGACAAACTAGCCAATAAGAGAATCCTAACCACAACATCTACATGCTACCCCTGACTTAAAGAAAGCTGCTGAAAAAGCTCACCTCTCTGATGTGTTTTTCTCATCTGGAACAAATGAAACCTCCATGTCCATTAACTACCTTTTCATGTAGGATTTACTTTAATGAAATATACAACACAGCCCGACCAAATTGGAACCTGAATGAAAGTCCTTAGAATCCCACAGGCCTCGGGCCAAGGATCACAGGATCATAGACTTCAAGCTGGAAGGGTCCTCAGAGGTCCAACCCCCTTCACTTTACAGATGAGGAAGCTGAGGCCCAGAGAAGTCAAGTGACTTGCCTAAGTTCCTAAGGGGGCAGAGCCAGGGTTTGAATGTAAGTCCTCTGACTCCAAATCTAGCCTCCTTTCCTATAAACTATAAGGAAACTGCCTGATTACCCTACCAGGTAATCCAGAACAGATCATGGAGCTCTTTGAAACAGGCTACAACATGCAGCCTCCTTTGGCATCTGTGTGTCTTAGGCAAAGTTAAAAAATTCCTGCTTTCCTGTCCCTGCCCCTCTCCCTTGGAAATAACTCCTCTGTTATTGTTCGCTGGAATCTGACACATGGACCTTGACTTGCTCACCAAACAAATACTATGCCATGGAGAGCAATGTGTCCTGGCATTAGAAAGAGGTACATTTTTTTTTTTAAAGTGTTACTGTGTATTGTGATTTAGGAGGCTGTTTATCTTATCTACCCCTAGTCTTTACTCTGCATGACCCTATTAATAAGAAAGGGTCATCACACATACAAAAATATTTATAGCAACTCTTTCTGTGGTGGCAAAGAACTGGAAATTGAGGGGATGCCCATCAATTGGGGAATGGCTGAACAAGTTGTGGTATATGAATGTAATGGAATACTGTTGGGCTATAAGAAATGATGAGCAGGCGGACTTCAGAAAAATCTGTAAAGACTTGTATGGACTGATTCTGAGTGAAGTGAGCAGAACCAGGAGAACGTTGTGCACAGTAGCACCAACATTGTGTGATGATTAACCTTGATAGACTTAGCTCTTTTCAGAAATGCAAGGATTTAAGACAACTCCGAAAGAATCATGATGGGAAATGCTATCCATGCAGATCGAAGCATGCTATTTGCTCTTTTTTTCTTTTGTTTTGTTTCTTCTTTCTCATGGTTCTTCCTATTGGTTTGAATTCGTCTTTACAACATGATTAATGTGAAAATATGGTTAATAGGAATGTATATGTAGAGCCTTATATCAGATTGCATGCCGTCTTGGGGAGGGAGGAAGGGAAGAAAATCTAAAACTCAAAAGCTTATGAAAGTGAATGTTGAAAACTAAAAATAGATGAATTAATTTTTAAAAAAAGAAGAAAGAGTCATCATCTTGTGACATCTTTTTCTCTGACAACTGTACAAAATTGTGAAATGTCACTCCATTCTTTGTTACTTCAGTGAAGGGTTTAATAATCTTTGGCATTAGGCCAAATGTTAATAAATTCAAATAGAAAAAAATAATGAATTCTTACCATGAGAGTAAAGATTGTTTCATTCTTTGTATTTCTGTCTTTATTGCCCAGCACAGTAACTGGCACATATTAGGTGTTTTGCTTATTGACTGATTGATTATTAAGGCAATACATCGCAATACATTGCATTAGGGTTTTCAAAGGTATGTTGTAGCTTAGTTATGGCTCACCTTGCAATAGGAAAACCACAATCCTAGGTATATAGAGCTGGAAGAAATCATCTTGTCCAGTAGTTTTTTATAGATGAGGAAATCAAAGCCTAAAGGCCAAAGTCTAAGCTGGGATGCCAAAAATTATTTTGCAAGTTGACAGTGAAGAAAGAGCTATCTTTCATTTTGATTCATAAAGACACAAAACACTATTGTCACAACACTGGGCAGAGATGACAAAGGGTACATATCAGTTGCCAATAGCTTGCCTTTCTACACTGGGCTGACACTATCATGGTTCTATAGGCTGACACTATAGTCCATCAAGGAAACCAATGATCACCCAAATATGTGTCTGACAAAGTGAAATTTAAATTTAAATTATTTTGATAAAGTTAAGAGCTAGAGGGAACCTTAGATATCATCCCAGAGATTTTTAACCTAGGACCTGTGAACTTGAAATTTTTTTATGATTATTTCAACATAATTAGTTTCTTTTGCAATCCCATGTATTTTATGCATTTAAAAACATTCAGTCTATCAGACTGCCAGAGGGGTCTGTGACATACACACACACACACACACACACACACACATACACACACACACACACACAGGTTAAGAATCTCTGATCTAGTACAATCCTTTCATTTTGCAGATGAGGAAAATGAACCCTGGCAAATTCAAGTGATTTGTCCAGGGTCACAAAGGTAATATGGCAAAGTCTGTATTTGGACCTAGGCCCTGGGCTGCCAAATATCAGTGCTCTTTCTATTACCAACGGCTGCCTCACCAAGTGTCCATTCTGTATTTACCTGAAGTACTCAGTAATAGTAGCAGTAGAGTCTGCGGGGCTGGAGCAGCTCTCTAGCAACTAATTGCCTTCTTTTGCAATCTTCTTAGTTTCTTCATTGTTTTCCTGAGAAGTTTAGAAGAGAATAATTAATAAGAATAAATAATTCATAAATCTCAGTTTTCCCCACTCACACTTTTATGAACCAGAGAGAGACTAGGAGAAGGGGCATGTGTGTATGTGTGTGTATGTTTATGTATTATTATGTATGTATATGTAGACTTTGCTGTTTAATGCAAACTCCTTGAAGGCAGGGGCTACTTCTTATTTTGTCTTTGTACCTGCAACGCTAGCACAGCACCTTATGTATCGTAGACTCTTAATAAATGCTTGTTAAACTGGATTAAAAGGGAATGGGAGAGAGGAATTCCTGGGCCAGAAGGGAGGTATAACTGAACAATGAGCCTGGGGAGAAGGAAAATGAAAATGTTCCAACAGTCACAGCAGTTTGACTATTCAGAAGCTGCTCCATTTGGGGCAGTTAGGTTGCGAAGTGGATAGAACACCGGCCCTGAAGTCGGGAGGACCTGAGTTCAAACTCGGCCTCAGACCAAACACTTGACACTTACTAGCTGTGTGACCCTGGGCAAGTCACTTAACCCCAATTGCCTAAAAAAACAAAACAAAACAAAACAAAACAGAAGCTACTCTGTTGGCCAGCTTTGCTGAAGGGTAAAGTTGGGTTTGTGATTCTCATAAATAGACCTTTCTCTGGTTGAGAAGGGCATTGACCAATTGGAATGTGCTCCAGAGAAGAGCCACTAGAATGATAATGGGCCTGGAGACTATGTCATATAAGGACCAATTGAAGGAACTGGGGATGTTTAATCTGGAAAAGATTTATAAGGGAACATGATTGTTGTCTACAAATATTTGAAGGGCTATCAAACGGAAATAGAATTTGACTGGGTTTGCTTAGCCCAAGAGAGAAGAATGAGGATCAAGGGATAGAAGCTTCAGAGAACCATATTTGGGTTTAACATAAGGGAGAACCTCTGAATAGCTAATTAGATCCATTAGATTGTAAGTTTCTTGAAGGCAAGGACTGTCTCTTGCCTCTTTTTGTATCCACAGCACTTAGCACAGCACAGTGCCTGGCACATAGTAGGTGCTTAATAAGTGCTTATTGATTGATATAAGAATGGGACGAACTGCTTCAGGAAGGGATGAGTTCCCCATTACTGCAGTTTTTCAATTGGAGGCTACAGTACTGTTTGTGGGGATGTTAGAGGGCATTTCTGCTTACTCATGGATTGGATTAGATGATGTTTGAAATATATTCCAACACCGATGTTCTGGGATTCCATCGTAGTGTACGTTGGGATGAGGATTTTATATAGAATTGGACAAGGCTGTGGTCATGTCCATTGATACACAAAGCAGCCCTAGTTATGATTCTTTGGTTATTTCTATGGGGACATTATTCAGAAAATAACTTTTTTTGTTTTTATTCTATTGATTTTGTAATTTGATGGCTTGTGTGTGATAGAAATCATAACATAGCTTAATTCAAACAATAACATGGATTAATTTTTCATTGCTTAGAGAAATTCAGGTTTTCCTTGACCTACCTTGGCCCATTGATCCTCTAATAAATCACTAAGATTTCTGTTAATGGAATGTAATGTTTCCATGGTTTTAGCTTTGTGTAGAAGTGCTCATAGTATGAGGAGTCCTGCTTTGGAACCAGACGGTTGCCCACCGTGAGATATGGATATCTATAAGCAGCTACCATACCATCCACATTCACTTGATATTTATACTGGAAAATATTAAAAAAAACCCCCAGCATTTTAATTGTCATTCCCTTTATATTTTACCTTTTTGCTGCTGCTTTCATATTGAAAGCAAAACCAAAACCAAAACCTTACAAATCATCTTAACTTAGTTTTCCTTTAATAGGGTAACAGCTTTAGAACTCAAAGCAAGAACTGGTCATCTAGTCCAAAACACTGGTTTTCCAGATAAGAAAAGTAAAGCCTAGAGAGATGAAATAACCAGGCCAAGGTTACAAGGAAAAGGTGGTATGTAACACCAGGTAGGTCTCTTAACTTCAAAGTCCATCATTCTTTCCATGGCACCAGGCTGATTCTCTTTTATTCTCTTTGTATCAGATATTGTGCGCTACCTTGTAAATGGGGGGTGGGGTGAGGAGAGGTCTGTAAAATTGGATAGGAAAAAAATTTTATCTTTATTTTCACTAGCCTCTAACTGAAATTTAGCATTTCCTTCCATTTTAATTGTTTCTTTTTTTAAAACCACATTATTCTCAGAAGGGGTCCATAGGCTTCATCAGACTGCCATTCCCTGACAGCTTAATCCGATTCAATCCAGTAAACATTTATTTATTTATTTTTTGGCTAGGCAGTGGGTTAAGTGACTTGCCTAGTGTCATACAGCTAGTAAGTGTTATCTGTCTGAGGCCAGATTTTAACTCAAGTCTTCTTGACTCCAGGGCCGGTGCTCTATCCACTGCTCCACCTAGCCGCCCCACAACATCCCCCAGAGGCTTTTATTTTCTTTTTTCCAGTGAGGCAATAAGGGTTAAGTGACTTGCTCAAGGTCACACAGCTAGTAAGTGTCAACTGTTTGGTGTAAGGCTAGATTTGAACTCAGGTCCTCCTGACTTCAGGGCCAGTGTTCTAGCCACTCTAAGTAAACATTTATTAAGCTCTTACTATGTCCCACAAAAGGAGGCAACCACTGAGGAGGCTCAGTGGATAGAGTGTTGGGCCTAGAGACAGGAAGACCTGAGTTCAAATCCAACCTCAGACACTAGCTGTGTGACCCTGGACAAGTTACTTAATCTCTGTTTGCCTTATTCTACTGCAGAAGGTAATGGCAAACCACTCCAGTATCTTTGCCAAGAAAACCTCATGGACAGCATTGGCATCCTTGTCCACAGGGTCACGAAGAGTCTGACAGGACTGTACAACATGTGCCAGGCACTGTGCTAAGCAGCACAGATACAGTTAATAAAAAGAAAGTCCTTGCCCTCAAGAGCTTATTGTCTAATTGGAGAAGATGACACACAAAAAGAGGCAGAAAAGCTGGGGTAGGAGAGGGAGGGGAGGAGAGGAGGTAACCAGTATCTGGGCATCTTGTTCTTGGACTTGAAACCGGGCAGCACAGATGCAAAGTGGAATGAGCTTAGACCCCAGTTTCTGCCCTCTATGAAGGAGGGAATGGAGAGGAATTTGGTACTCAGCCCTCCAAACAGAGAGGAGAGGAGGCTGTCAAAACTAGAAATGACACAAAAAAGCTTTTAAAAAGCGCTGCTTTAAGTGGTCATTTTTCAGAAATTATGAACTGACTGAGCAGCATAGTATAGTGAAAAAAGTCTTAGACTTAGTGTCAAGAGACCTGGATTTGATTCCTGTCTCTCTGCAGTTTACTAGCTATAATGACCAGGGGCAAATCACTTAATTTCTCTTCTATCTCTTCATATATGAAATGGGAACAATATGACACTACCTCATGAGGCTGTTGTGAAGAAAAACTTTACAGATCTCATGTGAATGTATCATCATTGTTATTTGTGTTATTTCATAGGAAGTACCATAAATATTAAGAAAAAGTTTTTCTAAAATCTTCTATTTTAGGCTATTTCCCATGGCAGTTCTTTTCCTCAAGAAAAGTGAAGTCTCCATGGCAGCTGGGACAGATTACTGTGGAAGGCCTCACTTCCCTTAGCTGTACAATAAGATTTTGATTTCTTGGGTCTGTTCTAGTTCTAAATCCTGTAAGTCTAGATAAATATCTCAGCATCATAGTCAAGTCATAGGAAATTATTTCCGTGAACCTACAGAATCCGAGAACTAGAAAGGAAACTCAGAGAGCTCTTATCCAATACTTTTTCTCATGAATGAATCCCCTGCACAACATAATAGCTAGCATTTATGTAGCACTTTAAAGTTTGCAAAGCACTTGACATGTGTGATGTCATTCGATTCCCACAGTAATCCTGTGAAGGTTTTGTTTTGTTTTGTGTTTTTGGCATTTTACAGATGAGGAAATTGAAGTCAAAAAAGGTTCAGTGACTTGCCCAAAGTCTCTCAGCTCATGTCTGGGGGCAGTAATGGAAGAACTCTGGTCTTCAGAACTCTAGGTCCAGCACTCTATCCAATGGACATCTAACTGCCAACGAATGATCTCTAGCCTGTCTAAAAACCTCTAGTGATGGAGAACTCCTTACCTCACAAGACAATCCATTTCATTTAGAGATAGCTCGAATTATTAGAAAGCAAGTAGAAATCTGCCTCCCTCCTGCTCCCCTGCAACGTTCACTTATCAATCTCAGTTCTCTCCTTTGTTACCCATCAGAGTTAAGTCCAATCCTTCTTTTACCCATTTCCTCACCCCCCACCTTGATTTTATTGCTGCTTCAAAATCTGAGGACTACAACTCTAGAAACGTACTGTCATTTCTCCATATTTCAGTACTCATAGTCAAGATTTCAAGACTAGTTCTTCCCCTACTAGTGACAAATAGTTTTCTACAAGCCAAGTTCTTTGCCTGTTTATTTTCTAAGTGAATAATATATGTCAGAACTAGGCTCAGATATAAGTACAGGGATTTTTTATGTTAGAAAGATTTGGCCTCAGACACTAACTGTGTGACCCTGGGCATGTCACTTCACTGTGGTTGCCTCCAAAAAAGAAAGATTTGGTAGCCTACTTCATATTATAATAATAATACTTTACATTTTTATGTGCTTTTACTTTGGCAATGTATTTTCCCATTTGTCACTTCAGTTGATCTTGACAAGTCTATAAAGTAAGTAGGGCAAGTGTTATTGGGCTTATATTTATAGATAAGGAAATCAAGGCACCAGGAGGTTAGGTGATTTGCCTAAAATCACATAGCTAGTGGTGCTGAGCATAGTTACTTGGTTGTCTTTTTAAAGAAAATCAGATCTATGAGGATGACATGAATCATACCTGAACAAGTCAAAGACATCCACCAACTGAACTCTTGCAGCTCTTTTTCCTTTTCTTAGAAAAACAGATATCCAGTAATTCTTGCATTGAGTAATTCTGGATTTTCCTTGGACAGCTGCACTAATTTAGGACATCCGTCTTTGCTGTCTCTGCCTGTGAAAAAAGCCTTTTATGTTTTAGTGTTCCAGACAGGACCTGGATGGTTTGGAAAGAGAAGGTAGAATAGAATAGTCAGGAATATTCAGTGAAATGGTTCTTATTTCTACATAGGTGATACAGTCTTAAATTTTTTCACTGTCATCTAAAGGATGAAATATTTTTGTTACCAGCTCATCTCCTAAAGTTGACAGTACCTAGAGAATATTAGATCCAGTCTGTTTGCCACTGATACTTTTAAGGTAAAAAATCATAGTTAAAAAAATAAGTAATCCCTTTATTCAGATGTAAAGGACTAATGATCCAGAAAAAAAATATTTTTAAAATTTTTAAAAATGTTTAATTTCACATTTTTTGTAGTAGTGAACACTTTGGAAACCAAGAATTTTGCAAACCCTTTGTTGAATGGCAATCTGTAGCAATTAAGCTGATAGCCTAGGCCCCAAAATTACAGGTAGGAAGTGATTGTCAATGAATCTACACAATAATAATAATAACAACAACAACAACAATAATAATAATAATAATAATATCTGACATTTACAGGACATTTTGAGGTTTGCAAAGCTTTTTATGTAAATTAGATAATTTGAACCCCATCACAACCCTATGAAATAGATGCCATGGGCATGATCATCCCCATTTGACAGGTGAAGAAGGAGTTTCAGAGAGGTTAATTGACTTGTCAGTGGTGACACAGTACTTAAGGGTCAGAAATGGGATTTGAAACCAGGTCCTTCTGTCTCCAAATCCAGCACTCTCTCCACTAGACCATGGTAAATCTCTTCTTTAGGATATTCCCTCTTTCAGTCCTTGAAATTAAACATAAGTTTTACATTCTCAGGTGATTCTGAATTAATCAGAGAGGATAAGATGAGACAAAGATCATGACTCTTTAATTCTTTGATTACCAGAATCTTGAGCAAACCACTTTTGAATTTAGAAGTCATTTTTCTAACCTTTGGTCTAACTGAAAATGTTCGTACCTCAAAGAGATTTATCAACAAGTTTTCTTCCACTTCCCCCATGAGACTATGAATATTTTGGCCACAGCAACTCTCAAAAGCCATCTAAGTTATAGAGGAGTTGAAATCTGTAGCAGTGGAAGGTATTGCAAATAGAATGAACTACAGACCATTGAAATATTGGTGGCTTAAGTTTGTGTACTCACACAAAATATGTTCTCCCCACTTCTTTTCAAGTCTTTTCCTTTCCTGTAGAATTAATTCTAGTTTACCTATGTTTCCTTAAATCGAGAGATCATCATTAAGAACCCCTTTCAGTATATCAAATATTGAAATACAAAATGTAGGAATAAGAAAAAAATGTCATTGCTTTTATTGCAGATTTGCTGTATCTCTTTGTATTCCCTGCTATTGCTACCAAATGAGAAGCAGGCAGGTTTCTATTTCTCTCTGTCTCTGTCTCTCTCTCTCTCTCAGACTGATTTGAAAAAAGCAGCTGGATTCATGTACTAAAGATTACAAACAAAAACAAACAAAAGGAGACTTGTGGTTATTACAAGATAGCATCTTCTTTCTCATGGAACTAGACCAAACCAAAAGATTTACTTTTCTCACTCTGAACAATAAAGTAAAAGAAAGGATGGATTCTAAAAGAATAAATAAAACTAGACTCATCAAAGAGAAAAGATTTTTTTAGAAAGCATCAATGTTATTATAATACATGTTCCATTTGTATCACAAACTTTGTGCTTTACAAAACATGATTCAAGTCACACAAAACTTACTTAAAATGTAAGCTCCTTGAGAGTAGAGATTGTATATTTTTTTTCCTTATATTCCAAGCACCAACCACAATGCCTAAAACATAGTAGGTGCTTAAAAATATTTGTTATTTGACTGATTGGTGAAACAATTTGTATCTCTTAAAGATAGAACTCAAAGTTAATTCTTTGCCCAATTTTCATTTTCCTTCAGAATATTTACAAATTAACTGAGTCAAAGACAACTTTAGGTGTTTCTGGGAGCCAGGTATTAACGTTAGAAACCACACATCTTTAATTCTAGGGCTAACATTTATTTTTTAAAAAAATACTCTGGTGCTTAAGAGAGATAATTCTTCTAATCTTTTGTTAAGATATAGCTACTTTTTTTTGCCTCACATATATGTATAAATTCCCTCTAAAAATATACACCTCAACTTCTGCCAACAAGCTTTTGCCAATAGAATGAATTCAAATTTACTTTATTTCCCTGGATAGAGAAGATATCATTAGTAACACTTCTCAATGTTTCAGTTGTTGAATTAGTAATATCATATGTTGGAAGGATGATATCACTTAAATCCATTGAGCCAACCATGAAATGATAGGTAGAGGTAGAGGTGGGGTCTTATTGTGTTCTCGATGTTTGACTGCTCAAACTCCAACATTGACATAAAATTGTAATCTGGCAAACGAACCTAAATGTAAATAACAAACATATCAATATTAGTTAGGAGAAGAACTCTAAGCCTTGGGTACCCAGACTAAATAAACATCTTCAACTTTCTTAAACATCTCTGAAAGAGCTCAGTGTTTAACAAAGTAAATCATGGAGGGAACAAGAAGGTAAGGATAGACATTTCTTCATTGTTTGACATCAGGAAGCCAAGTGACAAAATAGGATGACCTTGAGAGGTCATCTCATCCATGCATCAGTGGCTTATTTCCATTTTGTAAAATCTGATGTGATAGTTCAGAGCCATGGCATTGAAGATGGTACATATTGGTGCATAGCTCCTGCCCCCAATAAAACATTTCCCTGATCTTCCCAGATAGAAGTAATCTCTTCTTCCTTGAATTTCACATCTCTCTATGGAATCACAGAACTGCCAAGGTGGAAGGGACCTCCGAGGCCAGCTCGTCTAACCTGTACCTGAACAGGGATCCTCTCTCTATCATACACCACAAGTAGCTGTCCAGACATTGCTCGAAGACCTCACAGGGGCAAACTATCATTTGCTGAGGCTGCCTGTTACATTTCTGGAGAACTCAGATTGTTAGGAAGTTTCTTTACACTAAATAAAATCTAATTCTCTGTGGTTTTCACATTGCTCCTAATTTTGTCCTCTGAGGCCAGGCAAAGCAAAGCTAATTCCTCTTCCAGAGAAGAGCATTTTAAATACTTGAGAAGAGCTAGCAAGTTCCCCTAAGACCCTATTGTAAGTCTTCTCTTCTTCTAGCTAAACATCTCAGGTTCTTTCAACTGATCTTCACATGCCATGATCTTGAAAGTTTTCACCGTCCTGGTCATCTTCTGGATGCTTCCACGTTTATCAATGTTCCTCTTAAAATGCATTGGCCCATAATTGAATACAATACTCCAGATGTTTTCTGACCAGGGTAGAGTACAGAGACAATCATCTTGCTTTATCTGGATATTAATGATTTCTAAACTTTAAGATCACATTAGCATTTGGGGCTGCTTTGTCACGTCAACTCATTATGACCTTTCTACCCACTAAACCCTAGTTCTTTTTCATCTTGTTGTTTTTGTTTGTTTTTTGACTAGGCAATGGGATTAAGTGACTTACCCAGGGTCACACAGCTAGTGAGTGTTATGTGTCTGAGGTTGTATTTGAACTCAGGTCCTCCTGAATCCAGGGCCGGTGGTCTATCTACTGCACCATCTAGCTGCCCCTCCTAGTTCTTTTTCAAACTGCCATCTACACACATCTCTTCAGTCTTGTACTTTTAATGTCAATGTTTTGAACTCAGACACAGATTACTGTATTTCTATCACTATTGTATTTCATCTTATTAAATTGGTGCCCTATTCTCTTCTCTTATTAAGTTCTGTTGGTGACTCCTCATCCATCTCCATAGCTTCAATTATTACCTCTATATGGCTGACAACTAAATCCACATCTTGAATCCTGACCTCTTTCCCAAAGTTCTGTATTTTCTTTTACATCCTGGGTCTGTATATCTTTTAAGCATTTTAAATTTAACGTTTCTAAAACCAAATTCATCTTTGCTTGTCCTTAACATATCCCTCCTTCTGATTTTTCCTATTTTTGTCAGTGAAATCACCATTCTCCTAGCTATGTTGTTTTGAAACCTTGGAGTTACCTTTGACTTTTATCTACCTCATCTCTTATATTCAACTAGACGACCAAGTCTTGTCATTTCTATCATCATATCTCTCTCATCCATTCTTTCCTTTCTATTCTCACAGGAACCATTCTAGCTCAAGCCTTTATTTTTTCTTGTCTGGACTATTGCTGCAATTTCCTAAATTATCCCCATGATTCTAGCTTCCCTGTACAATAATCCATCTCCTACACACGCTCTAATTAATTTTCATAAAGCACACTTCTGATGATATGATTTTCCTGTTCAAAAAACTGCTTCCTCATTGTCTATTGAATAAAACCTTAAACTTCTTAGTCTGGGGGCAGGTAGGTGGTACAGCAGATAGAGCACCAGCCCTGGAGTTAGGAGGACCTGAGTTCAAATCTGGTCTCAGACTCTTGAAACTTACTAGCTGTATGAGCCTGGGCAAGTTACTTAACCCCAATTGCCTCACAAAACCCCCCAAAAAACCTTCTTAGTTTGGTTTTCGAGGCACTTAAATGATGATCATTCTCCTTATATTCTTTTCTTCCCCTTATATTCTTCCTTGTATTAACATTGTCTATGTTTGTGTCTTATCTTTTCTGCTAGATGGTAAGATCCCTAGGATAGAAACTATTTCTCATGGCATCTGGCATGATGTCATAAAATAGGTCATAAACGCTGAATCTATTCTAATTTTAAAGAACCAAGGAGAAGACAGTGATACATCTAGTGCTTAACAGCCTTCACCAGTAGGAAACTCATATCTGATTCCAACCCTTAATGCTGTATCTAGAGTCGGTTCCCTTTTGTTCTGAGCTCTGTAGCTAGCTATTCTCTGAATTATTAACTGTGTTAAATATTAAGTATTCAGATATTTAAAAGCATTAAACTTTTTCTTTAACCCTTTTTTCTCAAACTTAACACTCCCACTTTCTTCAGCCTTGCTACATAGATCACATTTCTAACTCCCTCATGCTTTTTGTGGCTTTCCTCTAAACCTTCTCCCAAATTTCTAGTGTTGTTTTTGAATTCTTGATCCCAAAAGGGTATGAATTATGGAAATCTAATTAGTCCTAAATGTAATGGGAAGATAACAATAAATAATTTTTAAAACAAAAGCAGCAATAGCCTAAAGTACTATGCCAAGGGCACTGAGTGTTTTAATTTTAGCAAAAGAGCTTTGAAGTCTGGGATGAGAGTTTGAGACATGGTAAGGGATGGAATAGCAATGTGTGACTATATGGAGGAGGGCTCAGGTGGGGAAGGGAGGAGAAAAATAGGGGAATGAGAAGGATCAGGTAGTAAAAGAGAATGCAAGGAAAGAACGGGAGGTGGAAAGGAGAAATATGAAGGGTATAGACCCTTACCCTTTTGCCTCCCTCACTGGTCACTTGGCCGTTGACTATGTAGTCAGTGGGATCAGAGGGTCTCAGAAGAGAGTAAGTGAAATGCCAAGGCACAGCCTATAAAGGAACTGGGGCAGGGTCAAGCCTGGCACTGACTCAGGAGGAAAGTTTGGCGGCCAGTGTTAGTTAGGAACGCAAGTCCTTTCAGAGCAAGGATTGTTTTTCACTTTTGTCTTTTTATCCCTAGCACCCAGCACAGTGATATGCACATAAATGCTTTAAAATGCTTGTTGAATTGAATTGACTTGGAATAAGGAGATAATTGGGTTCATAGCTTGTCCCCGACATTGACTAGCTTTGTGATACTAAAAAGGTCACTTTTCCTTTCTAAGCTTCAGTTTCCTCATCTGTAAAACTGGAGATGATGATAGCTGCCTCTCCTAACACTATTATTATGAGGAAAGCATTCTGTGAAGCTTAATGCGCTTATATGTCATATTGTATGTCCATTTAAAAATGAAATGAAACATAATTGTTCTTAGAAATACTTCTGATACCTTTGTTGCTAGTGACAGCAACATTTCATCTGAGAACACTTTGAACTCGGTGTCCTTCTTTTTAGACTACTGGTAGACATGCTTATTGAAAACAGTGTAGTGAACAATCTTGTCACCAAACCTTGCCGGGACTTCATTTAGCATCTACTGAAGATGAGTGCTAGGGAAGGAGGCAAAGTCCTTTGCACTCTGAGTCTCCTTGATTGAACATGAAAAAGTTTTCTGCCAGGTCTGAGGATTCTCTTCCCGGCATTCACAGTACTTATGATACACAGGTTCTAAGGGAGACAAGGCTCTTTCTTAAAACGTCATGATCTTGTATGCAAAGTATTGTAACAACCTTTCTTTTGTTCTCACCTTGGATTTAAGGTAATTTCTTGCAGAACATTAGGAATCTCCAGGCAATGCCAATCTTTAGGTAAATTGTTAAGCAGCAGAATCCCCTAGAGCCCTCAGCTTCCCCTCCCTTTTATTATCTGCTCCAATCCCTCACTGCTACCCCTCAGGAAGCAGCAGAGCTCATAGCCTCTCAAGACCACCAACCCTCTCAAAACCTAATCTTAGGTACAGCTCTCATAAACGTATTCACACTAAGGAATAAATGCTCAAAGGGTTATCTTTTCCAGGGTTTATTTGCATTTTAAGAGGTAAGAAAGGAACGAATCTCTACTATTGTGAGTATCAAATGGTGGTAGAGAAAGAGTTTGGCAGGTGCATATGAGAGGAGGAAAGAGGAAGCCTCCTCAGCTCATACCAGCGTGTAAAATGGTCATCTACTTTTAAAGTAGTCCCCATTTTCAGGCACTCTGAGGCATTCTAGATAGTTATGAAGTCTATGATCATGAATACACAATTAGCCTTTACCAACTCAGTGGCTGGTATGCACTGGCCCACCAGGAAAGTTCACATACTCTTTGTCTCTCTCTCCCTAGGCTCATATTCTTATTGATTACTACTTGTCTATAATTTAATACTGACAGTTTTCTCCCATTGAAGAAACTCAAGGACTACCACAAAACAAACTCTGTCTGGGAGAGTTGTCCAGAATGACCCTTAGATTTGATGTCTCCTCTGCAACTTTAACTATAAGTTCTCCTTAGAGCTTTCCTGAGCTAAAAGCTTTGTTCCTTCTTTTTTTGTCTTATCACAGATGAATGAGGCACAAATTCAAAATTTCTGCCTCTTAGTTTGCCTGACTTCCTTCAAGATCTCCTACTCCAGGAAGGCTTTCCCCAGTTGCTAATGCCCTCTCTTCTCAGATTTTTTCCATCTACTCTGCATTGTATTTATTTGTACATAGTTGTTCACAAGTTGTCCCTAAGTTAGAATATGAGCTCCTTGAGGGCAAAGACCATGTTTTTGCCTTCCTCTGTATCTCCAGGGCTTTTCACGGTGTCTGGCCCACATTAGATGTTTCTTAAATGCTTGTTGACTCGACTTCTCCAATCCCTGACCTGTCTAGTCTGACTTAAATTTTAGGTGCTCTAGGTCATAAGTTCCTTGAATGCAGTGGCTATGCTTACCCAAAGTATGTAATCACACCTTATATTACATTATTGAGCTAACCCAGTATATATTCTGAGAGGCACAATGTTGAAGTGATTTTTAGATTTGATATCTAGAATTCCTTGGTTCAAATCTTGGCTTTGATACTTTCTACTGATGTGATATTAAGGAAGTCATTCTTCTTCTCTGTACCTTAGTTTCTTCATCTTACAGAGGGGATAATAATACTTATACTACCTACCTCACAAAGTTATTATGTGGAAGGCAGATTATGCCTTTTGAAGGCCTATGTAAATATGAATTATTAGCCAGGTATGATGATGATGATGACTTCTCTTGCTCTGGCTTTGCTATACAATCTTAGGCCCATACTTTAAAAGTCTCACATATTAATAATAGGTAACATTTTATAACACTTTAAGATTTGCAGAGGACTTTACATATATTCCAATGTGATGATCACAACACCCCAGTGAAGTTAGTGCTATTATTATCTTCATTTTACAGAAAAAGTAACAGATGCTGAGAGAGATCAAGGGACTTGCCTAAGGTAGGTTTTAGACTCAGGTCCTCCTGATTTGAAGTCCACCACTCCATCCACATACCACCTTACTGCCCCATGTGATTAAGTCATATTCAAAGGTACCTGTGAAGCCACACAGTAAAGGTATTACTGCCACATCTGTTAACTACATGGGAGAGGGTATAACATGGCACATGGCAAAACTCAGGTCATAAAAATGACTTGCTTTTATTTCAGAACACTTTGTATTATACATGATCACATTAGACCTTCCCAACAGCCCTGTGAAATAGGTAGGACAGATGTTAGAAACTGAAGTTTCGAGGGGTTTAAGTGATTTGGCCAGCCATTACATAGGTGATATGTGTCAGAGATAGGACTTGAACCCAGGTCTTCCTGACTTCAAGTCCCTTACACTATCTGCTCTAAGGACTAATAGGCGGCAAAGGCAAAAACTCCTTCTGACTTCAAATCCAGTATTTCTTCCATAGGTTTATAATAGTAGGCTGTTTAGTGTCCCTACTAACTTCTGGAATTGACTTTACACTGGAGTATTGATATACAATATTTCTAAAAAGAGTTTACATTTTCTCAGACCCTCCCATCATCAATTTTAGGCCCCTTCTGCTGACTGAGTCCCATTCTCTCCACCCCTGTTCCTCCACCCTAGTTCCTCTGCTAGTGTCCATAGGGACTGGTGAGCATTCATCTTTTCTAACCCAGACCCAGGACCATCATGCTGACCATCTTCATGCTTCTGTGCTCCTTGTTCTACCCTCTGTCTGCTGTTCTAGATCCCACCTGGGTACCCTGAGCTTCTGATTGGTGGATAATTGCCTTCTCTAGCTCCAACCACACTACTCTCCAGCCATGTTCATGCCATGTCATTGCAACCATACTGTTTCCCTTACCCCCTTTCCAGTTATATCTCAGAACAGTAATCACATCAATGCAACCATTACTTGAAAGGATGTTAGTAAGTCAGTTAATTGACAAGTGCTTATTAAGTGCTTATTATATACCAAGCAAGGAAAAAAAATGTCCCTGCTCTGAAGGAGCATACATTCTAACGGGGAAGACAAACATGAAAATAACTAGGTACACACAAGATATAAAGGGTGTAGATTAGAGGTAATCTTGGAGGGAAGATCCTAGCATCTGGAGGGACAGGGAAAAGCCTCCTCCAAAAGGAGAGGTTTGAGCTGAATCTTGAAGGAAGCTAGGGAAACTAAAAAGGGGAGGTGAGAAAGGAGAGAACATACCAGGAATGAGGGATAGCCAGTTGCCTTATGATTCCAATCACCATCCCATTGACTTCCCTGACCAGAATTCCTTTCAGGCTATTTCCCCCCACATACATGTTGTTTTCCCCTTTTAGAATGTCTTGCTTATTTATATTTGTATCCCTAACACTTTGCTAAATTAGCAAACAATATTTGATAGACAGGTTATTTGAGGCAGGTAGGTGGCTCAGTGGATAGAATGCTGGTCTAGGAGTCAGGAAGATCTGAGTTCAAATGTGACCTTAGATACTCACTAGCTATGTGACCTTGGGCAAATCACTTGACCTCTGTTTACCTTAATCCCCTGGAGAAGGGAAATGGCAAACCACTCCAGGATCTTTACCAAGAAAATCTTGTGAACACTATGGTCCATGGGGTCATGAAGAGTCAGACACTACTGAATCAACTGAACAACAACAAAAACTGACATAGTAGGCACTTAACAAATGACTTTTCCTTCACGCCTTCATATTTGAGTTTCTGCTTTCACCATACAGGATTCTAGATCACAAAAGTCTCTTACGTTTCAAAATGTGTGGAGACTGAGCCATGTGCTCTTCACTATAAAACACATTTTTCTTTAGCTTGTCTTTGACACTCTCATATGTCTGGTGCCTTATCAGGAATGAGCTATCCTTTCTGCCCAAAGAGTTAGGGATATGAATGTGGACTAACTCTTGTAGTAAAAGTGGTCTGATTCCAACCTTGAATGGTAATTGTCCTGAAAGAAGAAAATGCAAAACACTGTCCTATCTGGGTAGGTATATGTTATGGTAACATGGTTAATTTAATTACACTCCTACTACACACGGATGGAACTAACAGGTATCTTTCTTTTTTGTGGAGCATCCAAGACTAGTCACAAAAAGGAGGAAAGGAAGAAATTACCATATAAATTGCATAGAGCTAAAGTTTTAGAAGTAGGAGTAAGAGGGACAATGTGGTGAAATTGAAAGCATGCTGGACCTGGAGTCAGGAAGAGTTTGAATGCTGCCTTAGAAGCTGACTAGCTGTATATCCCTGGGCAAATCATTTCACATAAGATTTCCAGTTTCCTCATCTGTATGATGAGGATGATAATAGCACCAACTTCACAGGGCTTGTGTGAAGATCAGGTGAAATAATGAAAGTAAAATTGTTTACGAACTTTAAAGAGATATATGAATGTTGTTGTTATTCATTTGTTTCAGTTGTGTCTGACTCTTCATGACCCCATGGACCATACTGTTTCATCAGATTTTCTTGGCAAAGATACTGGAATAGTTTGCCATTTCCTTCTCTAGCTCATTTTACATATAAGGAAACTGAGGCAAGCAAGGTTAAGTGACTTGCCGAGAGTCACACAGCTAGTAATTGTCTGAGGCTGGATTTAAACTCAGGTCTTCCTGACTCCAGGTGTGGTGCTTTATCTACTGTGCTACCTAGCTGCCCATATATGAATGTTAACTAAAATTGTTACTATTATTAGGACCCAAGAAAGATGTCTATCTAGTTTCTCCTCCTTATCCCTTAGAAAAGATGAAAATAAAGCCATCTACTTACAACAGCAAGATTTCACAGACTTCCTCCATAACATATTCTAACATCAAACCACTGTCAGTCATTTTTCTCTGATTAGCCCAGGTAAAAAGGAATAGTTTATTTCTACCAATACAGAACCTAAGCAGCTTTTCTTCTGTCATCCTCTCTTCATTTGACATCTTCTACTTGTCTTTCTCCCACATTCTGTCTGTTTATTTTCTTCTACTCATTCTTCTCTTTCCTCAACCCCTCCTTCCTTGTCTCCCCTCCATCCCTTAAAGAGTTATGATATGGAATTGAAGCATGTTTCAAAATATGTATTGTATTTATTGAATCTTCTGCCAAAGTCATTCTTGGATGGCCCTAGATTGTGACAGCTGAATATTAACTCTGGTAGGCCATACTAATATGGAAGGTGGCTAAGTCCTGGTTGACAATTCAGTTCATCACTGTGGTAGATGCTAGTCTGAGCATCACCAGGTGATGAAATTTCTGGCCACAGCAACTAATAAAACTAAATGGAATGACTATGATATGTATATGTCAAAAATTATTTGAACAAATTGAATAAGCTTTATACTCCCCATTCTTAATTTAAAAAAATCAAGTGAGTTTAAGCTTTCATAAGATCTAGAGCCTTAGAAGTAATCTCCAATCCCCTCATTTTTGACATGAGGAAACTGAGGCGAAGAGCGGTTAAGTGATTTGCTCAAAGTTATACAGGAAGTAGTGTCAGAGTTGGGATTCAAACCCATGTCCCTGGGACTCCAAATTCAGTGGCCTTTCCACTGCACCATACTGCCTTCCTTTTATGTTTTTCCTGAGTAGATAGTATTTGTAATGTGCTTAGCACAGTGCTTGACACATAGTTGGTGATTAATAAATGCTTGTTCCTTCATCTTTCTCCTTTATCCCTTTTCTCCCCCTTTCACTGTCAGAAAATTAAATAGCTATCTTGTGATCCTCAACTGACTTTGTCTGTGGTTCAGTGGATTTTGATAGGAAAAAAAATTATCTATCTCTACAAGGTAGGAACAATAATATAGCATTTACATATCCTGTTAAAAATATGTGGACTGGATTCTCAGTTTTTCATATTTTCATACCAAAAACCCTATTCAACTGTGAAAGAACTCAGCTAGAGTAAATGAACTTTAATAACTGCCTAAAGAACAAAAAGGGACAAATAATTGGATAGTGAAAAGTACATGTAAAAATAATATAATATGAAGTGTTTAAACCCACTGGAGATTTACTTGAAATTCTTAAAGGAAAGACAAAAGTTTGCTTTTTTGTATTTACTACTTACCTTTAGGAAGTATCACTTGAGGGTCATACCTCAATATATATATATAGAGAGAGAGAGAGAGAGAAACTTAATTGAACTGCTAATACATATTATGAAATACTTGGAGTTTTCCTACAAATCTTTCCTACATAAGTCACTTCTGGCATGAAATTGAATTTACAACCAGTGGAAAGTAATCAGATCATGTGATGAAAGAAGCATAAGCAATTTTAACCTCATCAAAGAGAAAATGAATAGTATAGTTTCAATTTGCTTCAAATTGAAGGAATGTGAATTCTAATCAGCATTGTGGGTTAATATCATGGAACAGAATTGGATTTGAGATAGTGCTTTTTATACTTCATGCATCTAAAATTACTTTAAAAAATGAATAATGCAGTGACTGTATAGACAAGTAAGGTAACATTCAGGTTAGTACTAACACATATAGTAATGTTCTGGGCCATTTAAATAAAAAACTTGAAAACCTTTCATCTGAAAAATAAATTATAAGCATAGAACTTAAAATGTTTATGGAATTCAATGCTAGAGATATAGAAGGCCCACAATAGACTTTTTATTTTAGCTTAATATATTTTAATAACAAACTTACAGCAATAGCACAGAAGACAGACATTAAAAGCTTGGACTTGCCTGTAGGACAACACAGGTAAAAAAGTATAGTGATTAGGTGGAATCTACCATGTTAAAAAAAATGCAGACACTAATTACTACCAATAAGAAATTTTCTTGTTTAAAAAAATCCAAATGTCCAGAAAATTTAACAAATTTGTTTATAATTTTTATAAAGTTGAATCATTAAAACTTATTCATGGAAATATTTTTGGCTATATTAATATTTTATATGCCACAAACTTGAATGTTTATATTCAAAATTCACTCACAAATAAAGTGGGAAAAATTGCCAATACCTAATTCTGCCAGTTTTTTCCATTCACAATCATGTATGTCCATGTTTTTAATGTTGCTACCTTTTGTGCTATTCCTGCAGGTTTGCTATTAAAGTGCATTAAACTAAAATAATGTCTACTCTGGGCCTTCCCTATCTCTAGCACTTAGGTTTCTTTTGACCCCATGGGGAAAATTAGAGAATGTTCAGAACTACCCATAACAGGAAGAAGAGATTATTTTTTGTTTTGAAAATGACAGGTATTTCCCATCATAGTGGAATTTAAGTGTATTTTCCACGTATGATACTTACTGGATATCTTTTGGCTTGATTGTGACATTGGCATAGGTAATATATAGATTAGGTGTCCTCAAATAGGAGGCTAACCAGATAGGCTTCTCTTGCCTACTGCAGAACACCAAATGCTGCACACTTGAAGTGCAGATCTGTTTTGAAGTCGTGAGTAATTTCAGGCCTTAGATACTGGGCTTACCAATCAGTTCAGTGGACTTGAGATAAATGTCTGATTTCATGAAGAGCCATGATATCAATGTAGCCTATCACCATGGTATTTCTTGACTCTTCCAGCAGAGTTTCACACTCTTTTTCCATATGACTTGTTTTAGTGAGCTGATCCTAGGATGCTTTACTACCCATAGAATTGTAGTCAGTTTGCTTGGCATAAAGCATGTTCCTGAAAATTTCTGCTTATATACTTTCCTTCTCTTTTGACTTGGGCTCAGAGAGTGAGAGTTAGTAGACTTGCATTCTAATTATGTAGGACTGCTTAGCAGTGACCACGGTATTTATTAGGCTCTGACCTCCTCCTCCCCCAAAAAAAACCAGGGGGAAAGATTCTCACAATGCCATGTGTGTTAGGCAGTTTCTAAGAATATCAGGTCACCATTATTGCTGCTTCCTCAAATTGAAAATGGGTTAAAAGTGAAAATAGTTGATTATCTTTTGATCAGACAGAACAGGTCCTTGACCATTAGGATTTTTAAATAATTTTATTTTTTTTATTCTCAATTTAATAATAACCAACCAACATTTCAAGAACAGGAAAGAGGATAGTGTAAGAGATCATCTTATATATAAGGAATTGTAAATGGTTATGTATAATTCTCTCTCTCTCTCTCTCTCTCTCTCTCTCTCTCTCTCTCTCGTTTCTCTTTTTCTCTACACACACACACACACACACACACATACACACATATATACATATATACATATATATGATTTCAGAATCTCCTGGAAAAACTTACATGAACTGATGCAATGTGAAGTGAGCAGATCTAGGAAGACATTGTACACAGTAACAGCAATATTGTACAATGGTCAACTGTGAATGACTTACAATACAATGATTCAAGATAAGTCCAAAGGACTAATGATTAAAAAATGCAGTCTGCCTCCAGAGAAAGAACTGATGGAGTCTGAATGAAGATCAAAGCATACTATTTTTTCATTTTCTTTATTTTTTTGTGTTCTTTTTTTTTTTTGGTTGGTATCTTCTTTCACAATATGACTGATATGGAAATATGTTTTGTATGATTGTACATGTATAATCTATATCAATTTGCTCCCATATCAGGGAGGGGGGAGGAGATGGAGGGAGGAAGAGAACTTGTAACTCAAAATTTAAAAAAAGAATGTTCAAAATTGTTTTTACATGTAATTGAGAAAAATAAAATATTATTCAAAAATAAAAAAAGAAATATATCTATTTAATATAATTGATGTTCAATTTTTTTTCAGGTCTATCACTAACCTTCCATCACCCACCTTCTCATTTGTCCACCTTGGCCCCAGAGTAGAAACCCTCACTTTGTAACATATGTATAATCAGCAAAACAAACTGGACATAGCTGGATACACTGGCCCCATCTGAGAATTTATGTCTGATTTTGCATTCCTCTCAAGAAGAGGAGATAAGTTTCATCATCAATCTTTTGAAGTCTGGATTGGTTACTGATTTTGTCAGAAAGCTGTTATTCCTCAG